CGGGGGCTGCCCCTCAGGCCCCCAGTCCCACCCGCCCACCGAGCGCTCAGAGCAGAGGCAGACCCAGCTGCCCAGAGGGGGAGAAACAGGAGAGCCGCTCAGGATCTGGGGCTTATTAAGGGGGTGAAAGCCAGGGGCTTCCTCCCCGGTAACTTGGACGTGAATCCCACGCTCTCCCACTCACTTTGGTCTTTTTATCATCAAAAAGGCTCAGGTTGAAGCTAAGAAGGAGCATGAAGGTGCCGTGCAGCTGCTAGAGGTAAGCGGGCGGCCCGTGGGCTCTCCTTGCGGGGCCGAGCTCAGGGAGGGTCCGTCCGGCCCAGCAGACACAGCCGCTCAGGCCGGGCTTGCTGAGTGCCCACGGGAACGGGTCCCGAGCGCCGTGCGCGGTCCTCCCGGCTCCTCCTCACGGGCAGCCGGTGCCACAGGAGCCGCCGCAGTTCCCACCGTGACGCAGTTTTCCCTCGGCCGGGGCTCAGGCCTGGTCCTCTCGCCTGTGCTGGCTCCTCGTGGGTGGAAAGCTGGGGGGTGGGCCTCGCACGGGAAGGAGTTTTGGGTGTCAAGTGGAGGCCCCTCCGGGTAGCAAGGTGGCTGCAGCCGCCCCCAGCTCCCCCGCCCTCAGGCTCAAGTCCGGCAGGCGAGGGGCCTACTTCCCCCAGGGAGAAGGGCGGGTGGACCTGCCTGTGGCGTCCTGCCGCCGAGGGAATTGCGCAGAGCACATCTTCAAGGGGCAGCACTGATCCTGGGGGAGCGCCTGGCAGTTGGCATCTGGGGAAACATTTGCAGACTTAGAGAAAGGATGATGGAGGGAATCGAAGCACAGGGCACCATCGGAAGCACGGCCACCGCCCGGTCCTCAGCCAGCACAGCAGGTGGCCCTCCTCAGCCGCCCGATGGTGGGGGCTGGGCAGGGGAGAGGCACCAAGTCCACCAGCGTGAGGGTGGGCACTGTGCCGGGAGTGACCCTCCTCTGTCCCTGGTCCCGGCCTGACGCCAGCCCCCTGGGGAGCCAGCTGACGGGCAGAACTGGATGGAGTTCCTGGGCTCGTCCCAGAGGCCTGTGCCCACGTGAAACCTCCATGCATAGTAAACAGGTCCTAACGAGCAGGCCAGGCTTCCAGCACCCGAGACAGAGGTCACCCAAGGCCGACCCCTGAAGTCCAGGCACAGCCCCAGGGCGTGGCTCCCCTCCGGTCCAGGAGAAAGGCCAGCGGGGCCTCTTCCTTCCTGCCACCGCCAGATGGGGGCTGCGGTTGCCTCTTTAAGATGATCTTGTCCCTGTCCCCAGGGAGGTAGCAGCCACTTAAGACAGAATCTGTGCCTCTCTTACCCTGCCGTGTAAAGTCTATTTCTCCCGCAGGAAAGGTTCCGCCATTACCATCATATATATTAAAATTGATCTTTTGAAAGCGTCCATTAGCTAATGAATATCTGAGGAGCGAGTGTGACGAATAGCAAGTGGGAAGATGCATGACCGCAGGTGTCCCCTGGCCCCATCTCCCAGAGAAACCACAGGCCGCACCTGCACCGCCCCCGCACTTTAATTTGCACCATCTGCTGGCCGCAGGCTTAGCTGCTCTTCTCCAGTCACCGGGAGCTCACCGCGCTGATGGTCTGTTGTCCTAACTGCCGTCCGAGCTGCCGCGGTGACGGTCCTGCCGGGGCCACACCCCGTGCTGGTGGCCTGCATGCCCACCTTGACGCGCAGTGGGGGCCGTAATGTGCTTTGGTCGGAAAACAGGCAGGCAGTGCAGGTGCTGGGAACCATGTCTTCTTTCATTCATGTCTTTCTGTAATTGTGTCTTGTTGCTTCGCCCAGAACACCTTGGAGAGCATGCAGGTACTGTAGGGAAGCCTGTTCCCGCCCCGTGTGCTTGGTGACGCTTCCCAGTGCCTGGGGCAGCCACGCTCCCTGGGCCCGCTCAACCCCCTCCTTCCCAATCCAGCAGCTCCCGATGCACCAGAGGGCGCTGGGCCCCTGGGGTGGCCGGGGCCTCGAGGAGGAGCTGCCTGTGGAGCCCCCGGAGGCGTCTGATTTCATCTGTGTCCTGAGACACTCAGTTCTGGTCTCTGGAGAGTCGAGCAGGCCCTGAGAGCTGGTTTCCCGTTTTGTGCCGAGGCTGTAACTTTCAGGCTGGGGGAACAGCTTTGTGGATTCCGACGACCCACGGCCAGCCGCGTGACCCAGAGCCCCGAGACTGAGAGGCTAGGACCGGGTCGGTCGGTCACCGGAATTCAGACCTGGCCTGAACGTTGCACCTGTGTGTCCGTGTCTGCTGTAGCTCTGTCTGCGGTGAGGCAGGTGGCTTGGGGGGCTCATCTCCTCGCTTCGGGGCCTCAGCTGCGGAACCAGTGTCACCTGTGCTTATGGCCACTGGCCTGGGCCAGTCACGTGGCTGCCACATCTGAATCCCAGGGTCTGTGAGGCAACGCAGGCGACGGTCAGTGTGAGGGAGCCGTCCACGCGGAGAACGGGGAGCAATCAGATACGGGCTTACACCTCACCAGGCTTTGCGCCCTGTGTCCCTCAGGGATTCTCTTTCTCCCAGGAACCGGGGGGCGATCCCTGTCCCCACCTCCAGAATGGCCTTCACAACTGGAACCCACACGTCCCAGCTGGGAGGGAGGAGGGGGGTCCAGGGAAGCCCCGCCTGCTCCTGTGTTTGGGGGCCCAGCCGGCCCAGGACAAACCTTGACTCCATCTTTGTCCCCGGAGGCCTCCCCTTCTCTCCTCGCCGGCTCCCCGAGGGCAGCACGGGAGGCCTGGGGTCCCATCCCGCCATGCTTATCTGTCCACACGACACCTGCATGGAAAACGCACACCCGACAGGAAGGGGGACCCTCGTGCCCCGCACCCACCAGCTGGGATGCACTGAGCTCCCCTGGACGGTTCAGGGAGTGCACCAGTCACGGGAGCCGGCGCAGACTCGTTCTGAGGGCGCCGAGTCCGCACGCTGCCCAGTGCGGAGGTCGTTTCCACGGCAGCTCCGCTCCCCGCTCTCCCGTGGTGGCCGCCCTCGCGTTTCAGGGTCAGCATGCGTGTCCCGCGGGGCCCTGGGGCTCAGAGCCTGCTCAGACGGGCCGGCAGGGTGGTTCTGTGTGTGTGACGCCTGCGGGCAGGAGCCAGGCCGGGAGAGGTGCCCCGACTGGGGGTGGCCCTGAGGAAACGGGGGGGCTCCCGCGGCCTCGAGCTGCTGCCACACTTTGCGGGCGACAGGCCCCGGGCAACCGAGGGAGCAGGGCGCTGGTCGTCGGGGCTCTGGCTGTTTTCTGCATTTTTATAAATACCACACGCAAATCCGCACGCCCCCGCTGCTGTTCCAGTTACAGCCACTTGCCGGATGACGCGCCGTCTGTTCACGGGCGGTCAGGCTGAGCGCCTCTGAGCAGCCGCCCTCTGCCTGGGTGCGTGGGTGTCCGGCGGCCGGGCTGGGAGACGCAGGGCCGGGAAAGCACCGTAGACCCGCAGTGGCCAGGCCGACTCACCGGGGCCTGGCTCCACCCACCCTCCTGCCTCGCTGCCCAGCCAGGCACGGGGGTGCCGCATCCCCGGAGGGCACAGAGGGGGTGGGATGCACCAGGGCGGAACTGGGGAAAGAACCGGAGAGAACAGGAGGGAGCGGCCAGGCAACCCCTTCCCTGACCTGAGTCCCGGAGGGAGACGCCATCCTCCCGCGTTCCTGAGATGTCTCCAGGTGTTTGCAGACCACAGCCAGGCTGCTAGACAATCCTGCAGATAGACTTTCTCTTTCATTGCTAGCGAGGTGTCCTCTGAGGGTCTGCAGGACCAGGGCCAGGGCCCCCCAGGATGAAAGTGCCGTGGGGGGTGAGCGGCTGAGCTCTCCCCAAGTCTGGGCTGTGTCACCACCTCTGGCTCCAAATTTCAACCGCGAAGTGCCTGGTGCGCACAGAGCCTGGAACAGTCCACGGTGCGAGGAGATCTGAGCGTTGGTGGGATTTTGTGGCACCTGTGGTTCCCGCGTTCACCCGGGAGGGGAGCTGCATGGAAAGCTTGGTTTCATCAGATGCCATTCCAACGGAGCGGGCGGCCCCAGCCACACGCAGGCACACACGACACAACATACATGGCCACACATGCGCAGACGTGCACTCGCCACGTCCCCCCACCCCACCGCCCTGCTGACCCGCGCGTCCCTCACAGTGCAAGGTGCGGGAGCTGGAGGATAAGTGCCGGGCGCAGAGTGAGCAGTTCAGCCTGCTGTCTCGGGACCTCGAGAAGTTTCGGCAGCACGCGGGCAAGATTGACCTGCTGGGCAGCACCTCCGTGGCCTCCTTGGACATCCCCTTGTCCCCCAGCAAGCCTTTCCCGCAGTTCATGAACGGACTGGCCCCCTCCATCGGGTCAGGTGAGTGCCTGGAGCCCCTGCAGCCTGGGCTGAGGTGGGGAGGGGGGCCGGGGACCCCCATGCGGGCCGCGCACAGCTGGTGAATTTAACGCTAGGCCGACAGGTCTCGGGAGCAGGGGCTTTGCGCTGTTCACTACCATGTGCCCCCGATGCCCACAGCGGCGCTGGGCACACAGCAGGTGCAAAGGACGTATTTATTGGATGAGCCGAGTCCTGGGGGCTCACGAAGCCAGCTGAGAGCAGGCTGAGGGAACAGCGCTGTGCGCCCCGACGGCGGATCGCTTCATCATTTCATCTCTGTCCAACTATCTCGATGTCCGTGGCCAGGTCAGGACAGCTCCTTTGGAAACCACACTGCGATTGGTGACTACATCCGGCCCCTCTCACTCCCCGGTGACAAGCCGGAGCCTCTGGCCATCAAGCCCACCTTTCTGTCCAGATCTGGAGGCCCAAGATGCAGATTTGAGTCAGACGTGAGTCCTGTCCTGGGAGCGGGCCCGAGTGTGGCGAGGAGGGAGATAGTGGACAGTCCTTGTGCTCTGCAGACTCTAGGACAGCGGGGAAGCAGAGTGGGGACCTGGGAGGAAAGAGCCCCATGCCCTCTACCCCATGGCCGTCCTGGCCGTCTCATCCTGAACGCTGAGCGCAGGGGCCTGTGTCTCCTTGTGGACTGCTCCCTTGAGAGCAGAGAGCACAAATCATTGTCTGTCTTTGCCCCCCGAGCCCCTCGCAGGGCCTGGCTCAGTGAGTGCCTCACGGGAACTCCGGCACCTGAGGCTGCAGAGCCCTGAGGGACGTGGGAGGGGTTTTCTGGGTGTCCCCTCATGAAATGTGAGACTACAGCTTCATAACCGAGTGTCATTGTGTCTACAGATGGACAATGAACAGAATGCCAACCCCCCCAAGCAGAGATACTCGGGGAAGGTGCACCTGTGTGTTGCCCGCTACAGGTGAGGACCACGCTTCCCTGCCCCAGGAGACTGAGCCTGGGGCGTGGGGCGGATGAGGCGACGGGTCAAGGACATGCTGTGAGCCGCGGACCCCCCTTCCCAGGCCCCGAGAGGAGGCTGAGCAGGCTCTCCGGCTGCGGGCCTGTGGCACAGAGGGGCTGGTGTGGTCACACCTGCACAGGGCAGGGGTCGGGAGGCCTGAATTTTGGCCCTACCCTCGCCGCTCAGTTAGCTCGTGACTTTGGACACTTCCACTCTCCTCACCAGGCTGTAAAGTTTGGAATAAGAAATTCTGCTCTGCCTTCTCACTGAGGCTTAATGGCAATTAAATAAAAACGCACCTTCCTGGTGACACGGCCAGATCATTACATCATCACTGTAACCTAACTGCACAGCTGCCAGGAGTGTCGTTTCTGTCTTCTTACTGAGGCCTTCTCTGTTGTTTACATGAATTAACCTTTTAATCAGAAAATACAAAGCTTATGTAACATACGTTTTATCTGCAAGTTGGACATGACGTTCAAAGATGTAATTCCACTATTTTGGGACTTGAGGATGTGGGCACATTTATACTCCCAGTGGGGAGGGGAAGGTAGAATGGTCAGGACATCCATCTGTCAGGACACTTCGGAGGTGCGTCCCCAAGACCTCAAAAATGTGGGTGACTCTGACCAAGCAAGCGTGCTCCCGGGGGATTTATCTGTGGGCAGCAAGTGTGCAAAGAGGTTCACGAGGATGGTGACGCAGCTCTGATCCTATTGGCCCAGAGCTGGAAGCAACATCAGTGCCCAGCATTAGGAAGTCAAAGTATGTTAGACTATCCCGCGGAATACTATACGCCCATTAAAAGGTTGTGGTAGACTGTTTCACGAGGCGGAGAGGCAGTCAGGCCGCATTGTGAAGTGAAGATAAGCAGGTTCCTGAGTGACACGTGCATCACGACCACGCCTTTGCTGAACAGTCCATCCGGAAAAGCTGCAGGGTTAGCTCTCTTCTTCTTCGCTTACTGTTTTGGAAACTTATAGTTACGGTAGAAGTGACAGGTGTGACCAGAAATAGCAGAAATGTAAGTACGTCACCTGGTACAAAGATTCCAAATGTACCTCTAGGTTTCGGAATCGTCTCCGTGTTTTAAATCTGTGGGAGGAAAGTGGCGACGGCTGCGTCTCAGCGCACAGAGAACTGACTCGGCCCGGGACCCCCGGGCCTGTGGAGGGGAGGTGGGCTGGGCTGGAGCAGCCTCCATCGGCCCGTCTTCTGAGTGAGCTGTTTCTCCCGTAGCTATAACCCCTTCGATGGCCCAAATGAGAACCCCGAAGCTGAGCTGCCGCTCACGGCGGGGAGATACCTCTATGTCCACGGGGACATGGACGAAGACGGCTTCTATGAAGGTCTGTTAAACGTGGCGGGTGGCGGGTCCCCTACCCGGCTGACAGGCTGGTCCCCCAGACGTGCATGCACGGCAGCCCCGCCTGTGGGCTCGGTCACCTCCACGAATGGCAGTCACTGTGGACTGTCACCCAGGAAATTCACCTTGGCGGGTGGCAGAAACGTCTTCACTCTCACAAGCTCACGTTCCCGTCACGGTTTTGCTCACCCGTGTACGAGTGTGTGCCCAAGCGAAGAGCCGGGCTGTCCGTGTGACAGCAAGACGCTCACGCCACCTCTCGGTGCCTCGGTTTCCTTGGCTGTGGGATGGAGATGGTCACCTGGGGGGCCATGAGGATAACAAGGCACCGCTGTGGTCGGAGGAGGGCCTGGGGCGAAGTCCTTGCTCAGCAGATGGGAGTTATCAGACCCGTCACCACCGGCAGGTCATCCCCCCTGGGGCCAACGAGGCTGTGTTCACAGAGCGCCCTCCAGGCGAGGGACCGACTGTCCCAGACCCGCACCCCGAGAGGGTCCGGGGCAGGATCTGTCCGCATTTACTCTGGTGGAATCCAGGACGGGTTGGACGGTCGTCATGGCATCTTGTGGGCCCATCACCGTCCCTCGGCGGGTGGGTGGGGGGCAGATGGCAGTGTTCAGCCCCCCTCAGCCCCCGGGCCATTTGGCCTCCAGGGGCCCTTCCTGCAGACTGAGTAGGGGACCTGGTCCTTTCCCATGGGTGCCCGAAGATCACCCAAACCTCCTCCTCAAAGCGCCTCAGTTTCCCGAGCCTTAGCTCCCAGGAGCTTCCAGCCTCTCAAGTAGGGAGAACACAGAGGCTAGACCATTTCACCCACAGAAAGAGGTCCCCACATGACCCTCATGGCACCCACCTTCCTGGAAAGTGCTAGTCGGCTGGATTTTTTTTTTTTTTTTTGGCTGCTCAGCTTGCAGGTGGTTCTGGGACCACATGGGCCACTGGGAATTTCACGGAACTGCTCATGGCGCTTTGCGGGGGGAGAGTCACCTTCGATTTCGACCCGTGTAACCCCTGAATCAAAACTAGGAGCAAGTTCATAGTTCACCCTCCAAACCCATGTAGGTTACATGTTTGTTGGTCCTTCTACACAGACATTTACTGAGCACCTGCTGTGTGCTAGGTGCAGCCCTGTCGTCACGGGTGTCATCCCAGGTGTGAGCAGGTAGTCAGTGCACAGCTGCAGGTGAATGGACGTGAAGGCTTCAGGCTCCGATGCGCAGCAGTGGGTGTCCTGAGGGGGTGGTGTCTCAGCTGAGGAATCCGCTGTGACCCTGCGTCACTCTGCTGTGGCCTGTCAGGACCCCGTGTGCTTGTGGGCGATAACCCTGTCCTTGCACCCAGCAGGCGAACTCCTGGATGGGCAGCGGGGTCTGGTGCCCTCCAACTTCGTGGACTTTGTCCAGGACAGCGAGGCCCGGTTAAGCGCACTGGGGACGGAACAAGGCCAGAATTTTATCAACCACTCCGGCCTCGGCCTGGATGGGGAGAACATTCTCGACTTGCACTCCCCCACGCGCCTGGACTCGGGCATCACCGACAACGGTGTGGGGACGCTGGATGTGAGTATCGACGACATCGGAGAAGACATCGTGCCTTACCCGAGGAAAATCACCCTCATCAAGCAACTCGCCAAAAGTGTCATTGTGGGCTGGGAGCCCCCGGCTGTGCCGCCGGGGTGGGGGACCCTGGGCGGCTACACTGTGCTGGTGGACCAGGAGCCGCGCCTCAGCCTCCCGCTGGCGGGCAGAACTAAGGCCCTGATCGAGAAGCTGAATGTGGCGGCCTGCACTCACCGCGTGTCCGTGCAGTGTGTGACCAGCCGGGGCAGCTCCGACCAGCTGCGGTGCACGCTGCTCGTGGGCAAGGAGGTGGTGGTGGCCCCCTCCCACCTGAGGGTGGACAACATCACCCAGATCTCCGCCCAGCTCTCCTGGCTGCCCACCAACAGCAACTACAGCCATGTGATCTTCCTCGACGAGCAGGAGCTGGACGTGGTCAAGGCCGCCAGGTACAAGTACCAGTTCTTTAACCTCAGGCCCAACACGGCCTACAAGGTCAAGGTCCTGGCCAGGCCCCACCAGATGCCGTGGCAGCTGCCCCTGGAGCAGCGGGAAAGGAAGGAGGCCTTCGCGGAGTTCTCCACGCTGCCCGCAGGTGAGCCTTCCCTTGGGGCCGAGGAACAGCGATGCCACTGTGCAGGTGAGGGGCGCGGGGGAGCCGAGGGGAAAGCCGCCTGCAGCCGACGTTAACCTGGAACCCCCTGAATCACCTGTGAGACACGGGCGTGGGGGGGGTAGTTCCCCAGAGAACAGCCTGAGCTGCGCCCTCCGCGCTCACCCCCGTCTCCCTGCCCGGTGACCCCTTTTCCTCATGCCTTTACTTTTACTCAAGTGGAATCAACACACAACAGTGCGTGAGTTTCAGGGGCACAGCACAGGGATTCCACATTCACACGCTGCACCGAGTGGTCCCCACGATCCGTCGGCGACCACCTGCCACTGTACAGGGGGTTAGGATGCTGCTGAGCGCGTCCCCGTGACTCGTTTGTGCAACAGCTGGGAGTGGGCACCTCTAATGAACGGCCTCCTTTCCGGGCGAGACCAGCCCGGCGTAGGAAGAGCTCACCTGCATGGGCCACGCCGTAAGAGCTCCTCTGCTCTCTGTCCCCAGGTCCCCCGGCTGCCCCCCAAGATGTCACTGTCCAAGCTGGGGCCACCCCAGCAACCATCTATGTCTCCTGGAAGCCACCTGCCCTGACCACCACCGGGCTCTCCAACGGGGCCAACGTTACGGGCTACGGCGTGTATGCAAAAGGGCAGAGGGTGAGTCTTTGGGGCAGGAGGCTTGCCCCAGGGTGGCCGGTACCTGCTCTGTGCAGGGGTGACCGCTGGGAGCGTTGTCTCTCCCTCCTCAACCCACCAGCACTTATTAAACACCCACCACCTGGCCACCCAGGGCTGCTGCAGGGCCCTGAGCCCCTCCTCTTCTGTCCCGTCCCCTCCCTGGAATTCCCTGCCTGCCCCCCACTGCTTACCTGCCCCGCTCCGCACCTTTCCCGTTCTCCTGCCCCAGGATTAAAAGTCCACCTGCCTTGAGTTCCCTAATATCAGGGCCCCTCCATAGAAGACGGGCTGATGAACCCCCCACACTGACATGTGGCCCGGCCTTGACTCCAATGTCTAGCATAGGGAAGCCCATAGCCCCAGCCCCATCCCCATCCTGGTGCAGGAATGAGACACACCTGCCTCTGGGGTGG